AATTTGTTACGCAAATAAATAATGTTCTAAACGGTTATTTCAACGACTAATAAATGTCAAGCTACTTAAGTACATACGAAGAATTAACGAGCACTGAGAGGCAAGCAAAATCATTTCAACTTTTTGGTTTGGGTATTCACTAAACTTGCTTATACGTACATACATATGTACATATAAGAAAATTTAATCATAGATTTGCTGATAAAAGAAATGCAATTATATAGTCAATTGTCATGTGTACATAAAATTAAAATAAATAAATTAAATAAAAATTTTAATGATTATTAAAAGCTTTGATTGGCTACGTAAGCCCCATGGGTGTCGCTTACATTCACAATAAATAGAAAACAAAATACTAAAAATTATATTTAGGTTGGAAAATCGATTATGTATTTTTAAAAAATGTCTAGCTTGTCCGTTAAAATAATATTGAAAAATAAAATCTGTTATCGATATCTTGGCATTTTATTTTTATGATAAAAAATAATCATACTTCAAATATATTAGCTTAAGAAATATAAATTTCATTTTTTTATATATTTTATATATACTTGTATATAAATAGTTTTGACTTGATTTCCTACTAGATTGCATTAATTTGTAGCATAAAATTAAAATTAGCCTTAACGTGCCATTTGAAAGTAAATTTTTTAAAATACCCAAAAAATTCATTCCTCGTGGTATAAAAATGTTTTTTTTTGTAGCTTAGTGACCTTCAGAGGAAAATCTTCGTTTCGGATATAAAAGCTTGACTTTTACTCTTCGCTTTTTTTTTCAAAATAAATGATTAGTGACTAATACAAAAATGATACTATTTGCAATTGGGATTGAAAAAGTGCCAAACATTTTAATAAGGGCGCTCACACCCCAACCTCGGTTTACAAAAAAAGTTATCAAATATGTAATTTAAACAAATATTTCTACGATATCAAAACTATGTTTCATACACAAATAAGCTGGGAGTTAGCTCAGGAATATGAATGTTTAATAAATTTCATCAACAATGTCTTACCTGCTAAACCAAAAATTACTAACCAAATTACTTCCTCAACAAAAAGCAATTTAAAAAATATATATCCGCTTCGCAATGGTAATTATTTAGTCGCAAATGACAAATTAATGATCATGCTCATTAGATTTAAAAATATTCTCCATATCAAAAAATTTAGCACCAATAAACGGCTAGCAGGCATTTAATTTATAAACGAATTGATGAAAATTTAAACAAAATGAAAATAACTAAACTGAAATAAAAAACTGAACTGAAAAAATTAAATTAAAAAAAGATTAATATTAAACAAAGCAAAATAAATAAAAAAAAATAACTTTAAAAATAATAATTTAAATAAAATGAAATAAAATAAAATTATATTAAACTATATAAATTAAAAAACGAAATGATATGAAATAAAATTAAATAAGTAAATAAAAAAATGGAATTGAACGAAATAGACTAAAAGGGCATAACATAAAATAAAATGATATAAAATAAATTTAATATTTTAAATAAAAAAATTTATAAATAAAACAAAATAAAATTAAAAGAATTAAAATTAAAGAGAATAAAACACAAAATGAAATAAAATAAAGCTAAATTAAATGATATAAAATAACAAAAAATTATATAAAATAAAATTAAACGATACAAAATAAAATAGAATAAAATAAAAAATAAAATGATATAAAAAGAAACATATTTAAACTAAAAAAAATAGACTAAAAAAATAAGACAATTAAATAACATGAAATAAAATGAAGCAAAGTAAAATAAGATAAAATATTATAATAAAATATAATAAAATTAATTTAAAAAAATTAATAAAATAAAGTAAATTAAAAAAAAAATTAATTAAAATTATATAAAATAAAACTAAACGAAATATATTGGGTTGCCCAAAAAATCATTGCGGATTTTTCATATAGTCGGTGAAAAATTCTTTCAACGGCTTGTGACTCTGTAATTGCATTCTTTCTTCTGTCAGTTATCAGCTGTTACTTTTAGCTTGCTTTAGAAAAAAAGTGCGCGAAATTTTGTTTACATTTGTTTGTTTGGCGTCAATTTTAATATGGAGCCCACNAATGGCAATTATATATTGATTAAATTTCATTCTAAGTTTCATTAAAAATGCATTTACTTTCTTTTAAAAAATCCGCAATTACTTTTTGGGAACCCAATAATAAAATAAATTAAAATAAAATAAATTGAAGTAAATGAAATAAGACAAAATATAATAAAATAATAAAAAATAAAATAAAATGAAAAATAAAATAAAGATAAATTAACTTAACTATTTATTTAAGTCAATGTAGTATTATTTTTGAATGTTGATCTGATCAGGATTCAAACCCTTTCCTCCTGAAGGACAGTACGTACTGCTAACTACTCAGCTGTCGCGGTCGCCCAAGCCAAAATATAATATAATAATATAAAATGAAATCAAAAATTATAAAATAAATATTATTTTTATTCCAATTTTTGCTATTTTAGTAAGTTTTGCCTAAATTGACTAAAACTTCTTTATATACATAGGTGCTGTTTGGTGTATAAAGACACTGGTTGTTTGCATATATAATAAAGAGTAATATGTGTATATACAGTAAACCCTTCCCACCAAGCGAACACTCATCGTCGGTCGTCTTTTACCAGCGCAAGAGAAGTGCTTAAGGGAATGAGTAGCTATTTTGGTATTACAAAAATTGAAATCAATGTTATTTAATACAGTGGCAGTCTAAAGTCTATGAACACCCTTTTTTTATTATACTCATATTTTACAGGAAAAGTAATGTTGCAATATTGTTTAAAACTTAATTATGAAATAGAAACCAAAATGCAGCATCTCGTAGCAGGAATTGGATTTTTATTAAATTTTTCACATAAGAACTCATACATATGTAAGTGAATAACAATACTAAAGTGAAAAAATCACAATATTTCTTAGAAACCAATAAATTGATTAATTTCCACATTTGAGTTAAGGTTTTACAGCGCCATCGTACGCGTTAACGCCATGACGGAACACAGGTCTCTGAGCCGGTGCCCACTGACTATGGCAATTTTTAAATCCCAGTGTATATCTAACGAATATTTCATTGATTGGAAAAACGTTTACCTGCTTATGAGAAGCTTAAAATTTGATGCGTCTAAAAATGTACGCTAAAGAGAAGCTTCTCTGTATATATACATACATATATAATTATATAATATATACATTATTCTTGGATTTTCAAATTTAAAAAATTATTTATTTATTAAAATAAAAATAATAATAAAACAGAAATAAAAAGAATATAAAAATTCAACAGTTCTTATTTATAACTTGATAATAAAAAAAAATTAAGAAAAATTTATAAACAAATCATTTTACTGGAAAACTATTAATAAACTATTGTATTTGGAAAAAAAAGTTATTAGTAAATAACAACCAAAAATTGCTGCAAAATTTATTAGCAGCTTATGATGCCGCAGATGAAATTAAAACCATTTAGTCATAAGCAGCTTTGGAGAAATCACAGTAATTCGCTCAACGCCAAATGAGTTGAAAATAACTTGTTCTAACGATTAGCAGCATAAATAGAAAGAAAAGGAATATAAAAAAAATAAAAAACACTGCTTAATTAGCTGTTGCTATTCAGTATGGTATATATAGTTATATTATATATTTTTTTTTAACAAAACTCAATCAATGTCATAGTCAAAGTCAAAGCCAATTTTTAGCTTAACAAAAGCCAAGAAATATGGCAGAAATTAAGAAAAAGCAGTCAACAATAATTTTAACATTTTTTGCACCATTTTGTTATTTCGATGCGATTACATACAGGTATATAATATATATACAAAGTTGGCAAATTTAACCATAAAGATGTGAAGATTTCTGAAAAGCTGAAATGTTTCTGGAAATTTTAGCGATGAAGTCAGAGCGTTGTCATCCATAACATTATTATATCTAACAGCAAAAGAAGCAGCAATATTAAAAACAACAACAACTTAGTAACAAATGACGGTAATTAACACAAAATGAAACGTGTTTTCTCAACGCCTGAATGACTGGTGTTGTGGTTGTGTTTCAAGCTAAGCTCTGGTGGTGGTGTTGATGTTGCTGTAGATAGCGCAGGCGCAGGTGTGAGCATATTTTTTAAATTTTTTTTTTTTTTTTTTTTTGTGGAATTCACATGCGATCCACCCAATCGCTGGCGCACATTTGTATTTGTAGATAGAGGCTGTGTCTTACTTCGATTGGTCCGAGACTTTCTTTGATTGTTTTGTATATTTTTTTTTTCATTTATGTTAGTCTAGGATAAAACAAGTTCATAAGTTTCTTCTCTATAAATCGGCGAGTGCCGCAAATTTTATGGAAACAAGAAATTTGTTAAACTAAGCATAAAATTTTGATTTGAAAAATTAAAAAAAAAAATAATAATAAAAAAATTATAAGAAAAATATATTAATATATTTTTAAAAATAACTGTTTATTTTACAATAAAAAAAAGCTAAATGAAAAATAAAATTTTTTTTTGTTAAAAATTAAATATTAAAATTATTTTTCGGAAAACGAAAAAACAATTTAAAAATATTTGCGAAAAAGGTTTAAATGAAATACTAAAACATACAAACTAAGCTGTAGAAATTATAGAGCAAAATATATTTTGTAATTTTCATAACTGTAAATGATGAGTGGTCTTATTAGAATGCATCAAATATATTAAAACTGAGACCAGCTGGAATAAATTTAGACATACGTAATAATTTTAGATTTTTTTCAAATTTGCCTAAAATTAAGGAGTTCATTCATCTGAAAAACCATTGTAAACAACAAAATAAAATATAAAAAATTACTTAACAAAAATTTAACTACTTTTTTCCCATATTAACAAGCAGAAACTAGTTTTTGCAGTCTAAAAATTATAAGCCCATTTAATTTCTTCCTTGTTTTTTTTATATATTATTTATATATATATATTATTTTTTATAATTAATAATTTTACAAAATTCTTAGGCTTACCAATTAAGTTTCTTTTTCTTTGATTTTAGTTTCGCAACACTAAAGGAAAAGAAGAAAAAAAATATGTTAATTAAAAACAAAATGGCACCAAAATAATATACAAAATATGTAAATTTATTTATTCGTGTAAATTTAACCTTAAAGAAGTGAGAGAAAGAGAGAGAAGTCAGATTATAAAGACGGGTTTGAGGCTTACAGTGCAGAAAAAGCGAATTTATAATTAAATAATTAATAAAAAATTACAATAATTTAGTTGATAAACAAAAAAAATTAAGTGAATATTTAATTAAGAAATTTTTACTGTTTATTTCTCAGACAGTTAAAATGTCAAAAATGAAAAGCACGCCAAGCCAATTTACAACTTTTAAGCCATAGAAACAAAGTTTTGTGTGGGCAAGATAAGAGCAAGAGCAACATAGTTGCAGAGTATAGTCACCCACACATAGTTGTTGGTGATATATTTTTATAGAAACTATGCCTAGACAATGTGGCGTCTCACTGTGTTTAATAACGAAAATGCATTCAATATTCATTCAACTTGTTTTGGTTGAGCTGCTCGTAAATACTACCTACAGTTAGGAAGCAAAAAAAAAAAAAAACACTGCACACCTACCAATTTATAGAAGAACAACAAGAAGGCAGTTATGAAGTAAAAGGCTTTCAAAAATTTTTTTCTTCTTAAGAAACACTGATTATTTACCCATTTTAACTACACCATATTCAGATATCAATTTTTATGACAGAGCTCGCGCATATTAAAGTATAAAAATATTACTGTTTAAAAAATGAATATATATTTATACATATGTACATGCATACACATTTGCTAATAGAGTTATGGCTTCAAATATTGCTATGAAAACTGAGATATTTTTTCATTATTTCCTTTGCCTGAACCAACAAAAGACTTAAGCAACAAACTTGATACAGATTCCGCATCTTGACTGAATAGATGTATACATTAAACGAGGGCAATAAAATGGAGTAAGCATGGAAAACTAAAAATTAGGAAAATGAAAATTAAGAGAAGAGGCATAAAACGTGTAAGTAAAAAGAGTAAAGCATAATTCGATATTAAAACAGATTATAAGCACACGAGCTGAAAATGTCAGCAACCTCACATAGAAGTAGAGAAGAGAAAGAAGAATAATATCTAATAGCAAAGTTGAACTAATAGTTCAGTTTCACTACAAATAAATGAAACGGCTAAATATATCAAAACGACTACAAGAAAAAGATTTATAAAATAATATAAAAACAAACAAACAAAAAATACAAGGAAATACTAAAAAGTTAACTTAAAAAAATGATAATAAAAAAATTTAAATGAATATAAAAAAATTCAAAAAAATAATAGCAAAAATTAATAAAAATTAAAAGAACAAAAAAAATATATATTAGGATAGATTAAGGTTTTTTATTTATTAAAAATACTAAAATTATTTTGTTTCAATGGAAAATAACTAAATTGTGTACAAGAAGTTAATATATACAATACTATTTTAAATATAAGGTTGTCAAATATCTCCCTTCCGCGTTTTTGTCTTTTGAATTTCGCGGCTATGTATAAAGCGCTACAGAGTTCATATCTGGCAACACTATACATAATTTGAAAGGTCTTGACATAACCTACAAAACAACGCTATGCATGATTAGTTTGGAATTGATTGGCGTTCAACAGTTATAGACGTGTAAACATGGAGTTCACTAACGCCGAAATTCGCGCTATTTTAAAGTTTTCCTTCGTTAAAGGCAAATCCGCCAGAGAAACGTTCCGTGAGATTAATGGTGTTTTGGAGGATGGTACTCTATCACTTCGAACCGCGGAGGATTGGTTTCGACGATTCAGAGCCGGTGAAAACGACACCATGGATGAGCCAACCGGCGGAAGACCTGTGATGACAAATACTGATCAAATCATGGAATACATCGAGTTAGACCGGCACATGGCATTTTGTGACATCGCCCAGGAGATGGGAGTTAGTCACCAAACCATTTTGAACCATCTGCAGAAGACTGGATACAAAAAAAAGTTTGATGTTTGGGTGCCGCATGATTTGACGCAAAAAAACCTTCTGGACCGAATCAACGCCTGCGATATGCTGCTGAAACGGAACGAGCTCGACCCATTCTTGAAGCAGATGGTAACTGGCGACGAAAAATGGATCACATACGACAATATCAAGCAAAAACTGTCGTGGTCGAAGCCCGGCTGAATCGTCCCAAACAGTGACCAAGCCGGGATTGACGGCCAGGAAGGTTTTGCTTTGTGTTTGGTGGGATTGGAAGGGAATCATCCACTATGAGCTGCTCCCATATGGTCAGACTGCGAACAACTGGACCGCTTGAAGCAGGCGATCGACCAGAAGCGTCCAGAATTGGCCAACAGGAAGGGTGTAGTGTTCCACCAGGACAACGTCAGACCACACCCTTCGTTGATGACTCGTCGCATTCACCATATAGCCCGAACGTATCGCCAAATGATTACCACCTGTTCCTGTCCATGGCCATGGAATGCCCTTGGTGGTGTGAAGTTGAACTCAAACGAGGCTTGTGAAAAGTGGCTGTCCGAATTCTTCTAGATGGAAACAGATCATCGAACAAAACGGCGCATATTTTAACTAAATCCGATCACTGTAACACTTTTTATAAAGCATTGAATGAAGAGCAAAAAGCGGAAGGGCGATATTTATATCTTTATATTTTACTTTTGCATAGATATGTTGTGAAAGAAAGATTGAAAATAATATTTTAATATATTTTTTTGTATGTCGAAGTACGACTTCTACAAACATATATGTATTTTTATTTTATTGACGTTGCATTTTAGCGCTGCTTCCTCAAAAAATTTTTCAAGTGAACATAGAATTAACCGCTAAACTAGATTTATTATGCAGAATTCAGTGTGTGTGACAATAGCCCAAATACATAAATTTTTTTTTAAAATATTACAAAAAAAAGTGTTATTTACATTTATAAAATTATATATATAAAATATATATATACCCTAGTACTTAAAATGCATATAAGTATAATTTAACAAAGAATATGCAAATAATACAAGTGAGCTTCAAAACGATAATTCAAAGTCAGCTGGAAAATGCTTGACCTAAAACAAAAGTCCAAGTTGAATATTTATACATACGAGTAAATGTACGAGTTAGTATTTATAAAACGATAATTTTCGCAATAAAAAACTGCATGATTATATTCAGAGCGAAATTTGTTGTTGGTACAGTTTTTTTACCATCAAAAGTCTGTATTTTATCTTTCTCACTCACTTAATTCTACATTAATTTTCTATGCGACTATTATATGCTGCCAAATCAAATTGAAGGCGATATGAAGCTGGCGATAGAAGGCACACCTACCATTCTTGCGTGAACATATTTACATAAGTACATATCTACTAAGATTCGGCTTTAATTATGTAGAATAATTATTGGACAACTTAATAATATGCTTTTGAGAATTACGCAAGTATACATATTAAATTGCGGTAGTCAGCACAAATGCACACATGTAAATGTGTAAATGTACAGGTTCACACATTTTATTGTCAATGCAAAGTCAAAATTTAAGCAGAAGTTATGAGGTAATTTATTTTTTATAACATGATTTCTCGGATTAAAATTCAGATGTCAGAAAAAAGATTAAATAAATAAAACGACGTAATAGAATAAATTAAAATTAAATAACATAAAATAAAATAAAAAATAAATAAATGAAAATAACAAAAAATGCAATTAAAGAAAAAATAAATATAAAAAATAATAAACTAAAGCAGATAAAATAAAATAAACCAAAATTAAAATAATATAAATTGATATAAATTAAAATAACATAAAAAAGTAACCCAAAATAAGTTAAAATAATATAAACAAATATAAAATAAAAGAAAATAAATTAAAATGAAATAAATTGAATTAAAATAAAATAAAATAAAATAAAATAAAAAAATAAAATAAAATTAAATAAAATAAAATAAAAAAATTAAAATAAAATAAAATAAACAAAATAAAATAAAATAAAATAAAATAATATAAAATAATATAAAATAAAATAAAATAAAATAAAATAAAATAAAATAAAATAAAATAAAATAAAATAAAATAAAATAAAATAAAATAAAATAAAATAAAATAAAATAAAATAAAATAAAATAAAATAAAATAAAATAAAATAAAATAAAATAAAATAAAATAAAATAAAATAAAATAAAATAAAATAAAATAAAATAAAATAAAATAAAATAAAATAAAATAAAATAAAATAAAATAAAATAAAATAAAATAAAATAAAATAAAATAAAATAAAATAAAATAAAATAAAATAAAATAAAATAAAATAAAATAAAATAAAATAAAATAAAATAAAATAAAATAAAATAAAATAAAATAAAATAAAATAAAATAAAATAAAATAANAAATAAAATTAAATTAAATTAAATAAAATAAAAAAAAAAAAAAAAAAAATAAAAATAAAAAAAAAAAAATAGAATGAATTCAAATAGAATATATAAATTGGAATAAAATGAAATTAAAAAAAATTCAAATTGGAATGTTATTTGATAAATCAGTCGATATAAAATAATAATGTAATATATGAATATAAAATTAAATAAAACAAAATTAAATGAAAGAAAATACTTGCTTGTTATAACGTCATGTGATAGCTTAAATATGAATAATCGTCAAGTAAATTGCTTGGAATATTGTACCTCGTACCACTAAGTGCATATATTTTAAAATTGCTTGTAAACATTACGCAAATGGGATTAAAAAAATATCTTTGCGTTTAGCAAAATAAAAAAACTTTAATAAAATTGAGCTTGATTAAATTTTTTTACAGGTCTCTTTTCGGGAGATTTATAATTATGTCAATTCGAAATAAATTTATTTAAGCCTCAGACGCGTTACAAAGAATCTTTGCAATGATTTTATCTCGAATTTAAAACACTTTATTAAGTGATAAATTGAAAACAGGTTTTTAAGAACTTAATTTGAATTTTTATTCGAAAGGTCATCTAAAAAGGATT